TTCTTGCTGTATCCTCTCATGGCTGAGAGAACTGACTCTAGTATTGTAATAGGGGCGGGGCAGGCGTGCAGCCAATAGCACGCGGCCGTTACCCTGTTACTGAGCAACTGTTACTGCGAGATCAGAAGCAGGAGACCCTTCACCTGCCGGGTGGAGGTCGCCCTTGGCCAATGGTTGGCCATGTCGTGGTCCTCGCGCGCGGAGCAGTGCGTGTGGTAAGAGGTGTATCAAGGGCCAGCAGGTGCGCTGGGGGGGCCTCGGGGACAGGCTGGGTGCCGTGTCCTGCAGAGCTCCAGAGCCCTCGCCACGGCAGCCCACTGGCTGGGCCCAGGCCTTGAGGCAGGGGGAACCTCTCCCCGCTCCCTGCCTCTGCGACCTAATGGCCGCGGCAGTCTGCATGGGTCCACAGGACCTGCTCCCCAGCCCCGCTTTGGGTGGCCTGAGGAGCCTGAGCACTGGCTGGGTCCTGGGTGCCCGGCTCCCTCAGTGATGACAGCTGGTCAGGGTCTGGGGACCTGGCCCTGAGGGCATCGTCAGCGGAGAACTACGTCTTCGGCGGGGCCTGGGTGCTGGACGAGCACTCCCGGGCAGGGTAACCCTCCTGTGCGGGGACCCCCTCCTCTTAGCCAGAGCCTGGACCTCAGAGGGCGAAAGTCGAGCCTTGGGACCTTGCACTTTCTTGTCAGAACAGAGAACAACATTTGTTTTGGTGGAGGTTTACAGGAACATCGTGACCTGACCGCGACCTGACCTCAAGAACAAAGGATCTGACAGCAAGAAATCTGCAACAACTAACCACACCGCTCCCTCAGCTTTCCTATAAAAGGGCTTTGCTGAAAGCTTTCAGGGAGTTTAGGATTTTTAAAGTATGAGCCACCCATTTCCTTGCATGGCCCTGCAATAAACCTTTCTCTGCTCCGAACTCTGATGTTTTGGTATTGTTTGGCCTCATTATGTCACACAGACTTGTGTTAGGTAACAGCATCTCCCTCTTATAAGAGCACTAATTCCATCATGGGGGCTCCACCTTTATGACCTCATCTAAACTTTCCAAAGGCCCTACCTCCTCATACCATCTCCTTGGGTGTTAGGGTTTGAACATACGAATTTTGGTGGTGAGGGACACAGGTATGCAGTCCATAACCGGTATCTCAGAAGAGGAAGGTATGGGAAGATACATTCCTCTATTACCAATTTTCTATCCCTTTGTATACCTCTGGGTGGCACATTTGTAGGGAGCAGTCCTGAGCCCTTAATATTACCTTATCATGCCACTAGGATGGAGCCCAAATTCCTTAGCCTTGCATTCAGGGCTCTTAAGTGTTCAGTTATAACTAATCTGTCCTGTGTGTTTCCTTAGTTGTTATTGAATTGCTTTTATGTTTGCTTATGGCCTAAAATAATTTCACATATAACTCCTCTTTTTTTGTTGTTTTTAAATGTTACCTTATATCTACCTTAAATAAACATCTCAGGCTTCTCTACAGAGACAAATGAGTTTAAAGATTTCCCTGTTCCCTCTGAGACGTTCTTCTACCCCACCCATCACCACCACCAATATACACCTACTCACCTAATCACCTCAGGTAGAGGGAAGATTCAGAGACCTGAAAAGATAAGTGAGATAACATAAAAGATGAGAGATCAGGGCAGGCCCAGAGTAAAGTATGAAAAGGCAAATAAATCATTTTTCTGGACGCCATCCAATAGTCCCTTTTCAGCATATCTTGGCATTTTCTATCTCTTATTTAAAATATGACTTGTTACAATTTGTGAAATTATATTAAAATGTGAAATCTATATGCTCTTTGGCCCAGCAACTAAACTTCTAGAATCCTATCCTATTAAAATGTGCTTATAAAAACAAAAATGTGGGGCTTCCCTGGTGGCGCAGTGGTTGAGAGTCCGCCTGCCGATGCAGGGGACACAGGTTCGTGCCCCGGTCCGGGAAGATCCCACATGCCGCGGAGCGGCTAGGCTCGTGAGCCATGGCCACTGAGTCTGCGCGTCCGGAGCCTCCGCTCCGCAACGGGAGAGGCCACAACAGTGAGAGGCCCGCGTACGGCAAAAAAAAAAAAAAAAAAAAGTGTAAGTGTGAGTGTATCATTTAGGAATCATTCAGTTGCAAGGAACAGAATGTCCAACTCATACTTTAACATGTACTTTAAAATGCACTGGTGGAAGCTTAGAAATAGTGAGCACTGAAAGAATGGTTTGATTCAGCAATTCAAAAATGCCATCAGGGGACCCAATTTATTTCTGTCTTTGCCCTCTGCACCACTGTCAGCTTTATCCTAAGGATAAAGCCTTGTGATCAAGACAGCTGTTGGAGCCATACTCTCCCTTGCGTGTGTATAGGGAGAAAGAAGCTTTTTCCCCAGAAGCTGCTGTCAAACATATTGTGTCTCCTTAACTGAATTTGGTCACTCTCTCATCCCTGAGCCAAAAACTGAAGAGGATTATGCTGTTGAACTTATAATTAAGTTACATGGCACACCATTAACGCACGAGTAACCTTTTCATTTTGCAATAAACACAGCCTACTTGGTATATATTTGGTTAACTGAGTAATTATAAGGTTAGCTATCAAGAAAAGGAGCTGTAGATTTTAAGGAGGCAGCCACAGTCTCCACCAAGAGTAATCAAGGATGCTTACTGATGTATTGTCTACATCACACTGAAAATCCGGAAATAACTCAAATAGTCATTAACAGCAGATTGATTAAATAAACTTGGTATGTTGTACAGTGGAGACAATGTAACTATTCTATTCATTTATCCAACCGCTTAACTTATTGAGGGCCTATTACCTGCCTAACAGTGTTTTATTCACTAAAGATACAGCAGGGAAGAAAACAGTTAAAACCTTGCCTTCACGTTGTATTCATTCTGATTGGGTAAACAGAAAACAAATAAATAGAGACTAGAGAATATAATGCTAATCAATGCAAATGCCACAGGAAAAGAAAACTGGATCAAAGAATGGGTAAACGGAAAGCAAAGATCTGCTTCCAAAGTATAATCAAAAGAAAAACATCAAAAGAACTGTGAAAGCATACTATGATTTAAAAACCCATTTTGTAGTCAGAAGAGATATCTCTCACCAAAAGATATCTACTACAAATAAATACCTAATTCATGATTCAATAAAATCCAGGAAGACATGATATTTCATAGCAAAAATAAGGCAATGTAAAGAGGTAATAGTCTGAGATTAGCAAAAGTTTTTTTGCTATCTCATTACAGTAACAGATAGAATTAATTTGCTTATCACTTGCTCTGAAAACTCTCAGACGGCTCTCAGCTGTCAACTTCATGGTTAGGACCTTTGATAGCTATGTAAAATAAAGCAATATTTGCATTTGGAAGTTTAGCTGCTTATGTAAATATTTTTTCACATGGGATATATAAGCTGGATAGAAGTAACTTCACTTCAGATTGGTATACTCCATAATCTGTTAGGTTTCCCATTAACGAGCAAAAATTTTCAAGGTATACTCAAGATGAATTTATCTAAGAATATTTGCTTTAATAAGACAAATAGAAGCCTCTTTTTCCCTAGAAATCTTATTTAATTCATTATTTAAATGAAAACTAGTTTAATCATTTATCTTTTATGGCAAGTAAATTTAGTGTTAAAATCAAATTTTAAAAGACCTTTAAAAAATAAAGATATTTACTATCTTGGTATGATTTTAGCCTTACTTTTAAAAGTCAAGTAAGAATGTCTGCCTTGTTGAAAAAATGCAACTAGAAAAGTCTTTATGTAGTCTTAAAAATATCCATTTTTTCTGAGTAGCTCAGTCTAATCCCTTTTTAATTTACATTCCATCTAAGCTGTGGAAACTTTCTAAACATACTCTTGCCATACGATCCAGCGATCACACTCCTTGGTATTTACTCAAAGGAGCTGAAAATGTATCTCCACACAAAAACCTGCTCATGCGTGTTGATAGCAGCTGTATTTATAATTGCCAAAACCTGGAAGCAAACAAGATGTCCATCCTATGAATTAGGTGCTAATATTCCTCCCATTTTATAAATTAGAATACTGAGGCTTAAAGGGGTTAAATGTTTTTATCAGGACAAGGCACCTAGAGAGTCCTGAAGCCAGGAATTGAACCCTACCTATAGGAGCTTGACTCCTGAGTCTATGCTCCTCACTGCTACTAATAAACATGGAAATGTTACAAAGATTTAAGGACTTACAACAATATTTGGACATAGATAAAAATGTGTCCCCAGAGGCCTGGAAAATATGGAGATCCTAAGGTTATAGTTATTTTATTTAACAAGCATTTATATAGCACTTACTATTTACCATTAGAACTTGCTGTTCTAAGCACTTTATAAATAGAAAATCTGAACAGACCAATAATGAGTAAAGAGATTGAGTCAGTAATCAAAAACCTCTCAACACAGAAAACCCCAGGACCAGACAGTAGCTGGAGAATTCTAACAAACATTCAAAGAATGAACACCAACCCTGCTCAAACTCCTCCAAAAGCTGAAGAAGGGAGAACACTTCCCAACTCATTCTACAAGGCCAGCATTACCCTGATACCAAAGCCAGAGAAAGACAACACAAGAAAACTATAGACCAATATCCATGGCTGAAACCACTATTTGTTACATATCTCGGGGCGGGGGCGCAGTCCGAAAGTTAAGGCTAACTTATAAAAAGAAGGAGTGGGGTGCATTAAAAAGAGTACTAAGTGTCAAACACAGAAACTGAACAGGTAGGGAGACTGATTTTATTCAGATTATTGCAATAAGAAGAACATCCCAGATCTGGAGATCAGAGTGCCTCAGCAGGATGCTTTCGCCTTAAGACTTCTGTAGGGAGATGTAGACAAGTTACAGGTGGGGAGATTAACAGTTGAGGTTGTTTTGCAATCAGGGGAATTCTCAGTTAGCTGAACAGGAAGTGTTTATCTCTAGTTGTAGTTAGATTGGGGCGGGGGAAAACAGTTCTAAGCTCAGCTAATCATTGATGAGAGAAAGAATGGGGAGCTGGAGGGTCCGTGTGGTTCAGGCAAAGGCGGGAAGGTCTGTGGCTGACCTTGTCACACGTCCACAAAGGAGTCATCCAAGGTCTTACGGGAGCCATGAGAGAGTGGACGGAGCCTTTTCAAACTCATATGGGGAAGGGTCATTCTTTGTGATGAGCCATTTCTCAGAATACAGAATTTCCAAGAATTTTTCACCCACTGCTGTTTTCTGGGAACACAGGGCTCAGGTAAAGTTCTACACATCAGGGAAATCTGGAAACACCGATCCGGGTCCTGACTTGGCTGTTAACTTCCACGAGGCCTACGGCATCCTCGTCACTAAAACAGTGAGGGGAGGGTGATTTGTTAAATCTATTTCATACCCCAATGTTTGAAGAGTCTCTGAGAGGGGCAGAGGGACTCTTGAGGAAAAGGGAGATGGCAAGTGAGGGCAGGGAGAGAGGTTCACAGTCACAAAGGGAGGAGAGGACAACAAAGAAAGACTGTGTCACAGAGAGGGGAGGAGAATGTCAGCAGGTACTCCTGAGATTTTTAGGGTCAGAGAAGAGGCACCAGGGGCTGGGCTTGGTCTGCCCCTTTCCCTTTCACCCACATCAGAGACAGATCTCAGGTGTGCCTTATGTAACTGGATTTTGATCAGGGCTCGTTTGAAGACATCTGTAAAAGCCTTGCTTCTCCCCTACCCGCCAACTTAATATTTTCTCTCCCCCCCACCCGCTGTTCTTGCCAAGGACGCTTGGACTAAAGATTGAGACAGCTGACAGCCTGATCTGACTTGTCTGCTCCTGGCGAGATCCCAGCCTGCCATGAAGTGCTATCTCATCTTTGCACTCATGAGCGCAGCTGGTGAGTCTGGGGTCTTGTTGCTGCTTAGGCAGAGATGCGGTGGTGTGTGGGAGGGTCAGAGAGGGAGGTAGCTAGCCACAACTGAAGAGAGAGGAGTTGGTGGGCATTTCCTTCAAGTAACTGTTGATGCAAACGAAAGGAACCACGCTCGATGCACAGCTCACCCCACCAGCAGTCTCTCTGAGCTTCTCCGGTGCCTGTGAGCATGTTAGGATACGTCACTAGAAGTCCCCTGCACTCTCCCAGGACTCTTGAGTGTGTGATTTCCTAGACTGCCGAGTCTCCTGGACAGACACCAGAAAAGCACATCTTCCCTTTCTCTGGGCAGATGGACTTTGGAGGAGTGAGTGCCCGAAAGGAAGGGGGGCTGGGTCAGGGGCTCTGAGAGCCTCGTGGCCCTATCCCAAGCTTTTCCATTCCTTTCACCACCAAAGTCAGGCAGTATTTAACTTTTTCCTTTCATTCCTGGCAAAAGTTAATTTAAACTATTATTTTTAAAGTAGTAAGTCTTTTTTTTTCATTTTTATAATACACAGCACTGCCCATCAGGGTTTTTGATCAGCCTCAGATAAGCCTTTGCATTAGTTTCATAGAACTTTAATATACCTCCATCTCAAGCAAAGACATGTGTCAGTTTTCTTCATGTGTAGAGCTCAGGTGACATGCATGATTGCCCTTTGATTTAAAAGAATATTTTAAAATAACTTGAAGACCTTGACATTGTCCTTGAAAACCTTAAGGTGGCAAAAACTAGTCAACTCTCACCTCTCGCCCTGTCTCTCCTTCTACCTGTGACCCCACTGATTCTTTAGGAGTCATTCCTGCCCAAGATTCTAACACTGAGAAGATGAACGTAGCAGAAGATTTTACTATTCCTTACATGGTCTATCTTCAGTCCTTCCCAGAACCCTGTGTGGGGTCTCTCATTCACCCTGAGTGGCTACTGACCACTGCTCACTGCCCCTTACCGTAAGTATCCGTTTGCTCTTGGGAGCCATGAGGGTTCTATTCGAACAAAATCAGGTCTGATGAGGCATCCCAGCAAGTTCTAATGGCATCCTAGGGAATTAGAAGCCCCAGGAAGAGAGAGGGACGTCTTCCCAACGGGGAAAATAATACACACTTGGGTGGTTTAGGAGGAGATGAAGAGGAAGCTGTCAGAAGACTCTTTCTCACAGAGAGTAAATAATATTCATTCATTCAACATACTTATTGAACATTTACTGTATTCTAGGGACTGCTTAATGCACTGAAAAAACAGCAAGGGAACAAGACAGAAATTCATTTTCCCTCATGGAGCTCACATTCTGATAGAGAAAGTAAGCCCAAACAAATACATGTCCCCAAATAAAACATTAAAAAGAGTGCCAAGCTGAAAAATACAGGAATAAAGCAAGATATCTACTTTGCTTAGGGTGATCATGTCAGGCCTAGTTGAAGAGATGAGACCAACAGGAAGAGGGGGATGTAACCAAGTGAATAAATCCTGGGGGAAATTCCTGGCAGAGGGAATAGTGTACAGAGTCTCTGAAGCAGTAAAGATAATTGAGTGTTTGCCAAACTGAGAGACCAGTGCTGAGTGAGTGTAATGAGTAGGGGTGGGTGTTCACAGGCTGAGGTCCAAGTGTTAGCAGAAGCCATGCGATGCAGGTAACAGGAGAAGGGCAAAGGAGCTCTGCACGAGATGATGCTGTCCCTTACAAACCTCAGTGTCTCTGCTGTGTGTGAGAAACTGTTGTATGATTGGGACCTAGCCAGAGTTTCAGGAGTATATAAGGGTCATTTCTAACTCAGAACTCTTAGCCATCTGGTTGTTCAAGACAGTTTACTCAGACCCAGATTGAAGCCGTGCTCTGTGTGTTAATGAGAAATACAAAGGAAATAAAGACAGTTCATCCCCTCCAAGAACTGGAGCTGGTGAACTGGATGTTCTTCTCTCAGCCAGGCCTAATGCATGAACTGTTTCTGGTAGGCAGTGGCTCCTGTGCCTGTTACGTGACTGGACTCCTGACACTGGAAGCCTGTGGGTTTTTAATTTGTCCAGGAAATGTAATGGAAGATGGTAAATGGGAGTCCTGATAGACTACTAAGAGTCTTGTGAATCTATAATGAGTGTAGGCAGCACATGGTAAATACAATGATATGGGCCCAAGAGGAGCTGGGAAGGGCCTAAGAATATCCAGAAACAAAGGGTACAATACGCTTTGCTCAAGAGTTGCTTGAGACAGTGTAGCGCAGGCAACGACCTCTGCAATGATGCATTGTGGTGCCATCTCTGTTACCTCTTCATTCAGATCATCCATCATCACCATCACCACCATCACCACCATCATCACCATCATCACCATCACCACCATCATCACCACCATCATCACCATCATCACCATCATCACCATCACCACCATCACCACCATCATCACCATCACCACCATCACCACCATCATCACCATCATCACAACTAGATTGCACTGAGTATGTTCTAGGTGGCAGATACCATGTCAGGTTTTATGTCTATACATTGAGTCTAACACAACAGTCCTATAAACTATTATTATTACTATTTTACAGACCAAGGCCGGTCACTTGAGTTCTCAGGTCTAAGAGATAAAATTAAGAGGATTGGAGGAGGTCACCTCTAACACTTCTTGCAATTCTGACGTTCTGTGACCCTGTTCTCTTCCAACTGCCTGCCTTCTTTCTTCCATAGTGTTAAAATCCGATTGGGAGTTTATCAACCCAACATCAAAAATAAGAAAGAGCAGGTGCGGAATTACTCAATGGTGGTGCCCCACCCTGAATTCAACGCAGGATCTCTGAACAATGACTTGGTGATGATAAAACTGTCTAAGGCTGCTGCACTCAACAACCAAGTGGGAACCATAGCCATAGCCATGGAACCCTTACCAGTTAATAATTCCTGCTTTATCCCAACCTGGACCTGGAGTAAATATAAAAACCGTAAGTGTTTTTTGACTCTGTGTTCTTCATCCTGAGAAGGTTTTGGCGCTGGGGAACATGTGGACAGATATACCTGAAGGAAATAGCTGCTATGAGGTAATGCTCTTGACCCTAGAGGGATTACTGCAGGGCCTTACACTACCATTATACTCTCTTTCAGTATTACCAAAGGATGCTGGAACCACCACTTGATATCTGAAATGAACTGATAAAGCTAAATTTATTGCTTATTATAGAAGAGCAATGCTGAGCAGACAACAGTCTCAAGGAGCAGAGTACTAGGCTTATATGGGGTTTGTGGGAAGCTTTCCGTACAGGGTGTAGAAGACTTTCAGGGGCTTAAGAAAATTGACGTCATCTGTAGAGGCGTGGTTACCCGGGTGAGATTGTTGTTGATTGGTTGGCACTCAGCATGTTTATTGGAGGCGAGTCTGATTTGCTGACTTTAAAAAGTGGCATTGATTGATTGGCTTGCCAAAGCCTGTTCACTGAGGCAAATTGTCATGGGTGTTAATCAGGTTTAAACCCTTCTCTGGTAGTTACAGAACAATTCATATGTTCTGTAAAAATAAAAAGTGGGAGACTGGGGCTTCCCTGGTGGCGCAGTGGTTAAGAGTCCGCCTGCCGATGCAGGGGACATGGGTTCGTGCCCCGGTCCAGGAAGATCCCACATGCCGCGGAGCAGCTGGGCCCGTGAGCCATGGCCGCTGAGCCTGCGCGTCCGGAGCCTGTGCTCCGCAACGGGAGAGGCCACAACAGTGAGAGGCCCGCGTACCAAAAAAAAAAAAAAAAAAAAAAAAAGTGGGAGACTTCTGTCTATCAGTCTGTTTCATGAAAACAAAAGTAGAAAGTGGGAGCTTTTGTATTCTCAGTATTTGGCAACTTCATTTTCAATTTAGAAGCAACATTCCAGGGAATCTAAGTGAACATATTTTCTGAACAAATTGAAGATTTTAAGTCTTATTCAAAGTAACTGTATCACATTTTACAAAGTAATTCATTACACAGCATTTGAAAACAAAATAAAACTACATAAATGTTTTATCCCATAGGCTCTGCATGTCAGAATCATAGTGACAAACCAATTCTACAAGCTCTCTGGTGCCAGCCTCCCAATATGTATTGAGTTCATTATTTCAAGTAACTAGGTTACTTTCACCTAGCTTGTTCTATGTATTTCAGTTCAATTTCCACAAAAACTTAAAACAACATAACTCATCTTGTTCTTTTCTGACTTGACATTTTCTGGTCTAATCTGCTTTAAGACGTTAGATTGGATATATATCAGAAAAATCCTTCTCTGTAAGTAACACTAGGCTTAGCCTGAGCAATCTCTGGTTAATTTTTTGTTTCCTTCCTCCTTGTTACTCTCTACCAGAGATTAAAATTATATAATGCCTTGGTTAGACTCCTTGCATCCTGAGGTTAACAGTATAGTAACAATTGCTATTAGTGAGATGGGCAATATTACTTCTTAGGGGAAAATATATATGTATATTTATACATATACACTCACATACACTTATAAATAATCCATTTATAAATTATCTCACTAAAAAAGCATGTTTAGACACATTAAAAATAGTTTTCTACCTTTATGATTAAATGTAAAGATGATGAAGTAGGTGCCAAAAATGAAGGTTTCTTGGGGACAATGGCTTTGTGTCTCTCTCTTCTCACAATCATTCATAATTTTCCTGTGGGTTTTTCAAGCTTTCTAAGTTATGCACGCTAGAGAGAGAATTATAGATCTGATGATATCTGACGTAAGGCTCACATAATGCTCTGAATCCACTGCTCTGACACAGAGATACTGAACAGGGGACTCTAAGAAGGATGGAATGTCTGATACCTGCCATAAATATTCTCGGGTATTAATGTATTCACAAAATAGAGGCTGATCACAAGAGTATATGTGATAAGGAGAGTAACCCTGGCCTTCATTTCTCTTCCCCACAGTTCGTGACCCTGACAAGCTGACTTGGATAAACCAATATACTCTCCCCCACGATGAGTGCCAGAATATGCAGGATGAAAGAATGGCAATAAACATCATGTGTGTGGGACAACCTCTAAAGAACTTATCTGAAAATAAGGTATCTTTCCCTTCCCCAGACAGGAAGATAGCAAGGGGTCCATGACAAGGAGAGGTGCCCATGGGAAACCAAATGGTGCCCAACAAGGAGGCCTGGAGCCCTTCTACTCTTTCTCCTCAGTCTCTGGATTTCTGATCAATTCCCCTGCCTTCCTTTAACAGTGGGAGAGATTCGGGGCGGGGGGGGGGGGGAGAGCCATTTGTCCTTTCTCCTCCTACTTGCTCTCAGTTTGGTCAAATTCAAACCAAGAGAGGTGAGCCCTGTGTGGATGTGAAGAGAGCTTTGTCACCTCTCAAGAAAAATGATTCCAGGCCGTGAGATGCTTCTGCTACTATAATGTGCCACTTCTTGCAATTAATTCTTGTTCCATGAGGACCAAGCACTATTGATCTCCTGTTCCCTCTCTCTGGCAGGAAGTCTCAGCAGCTCCAGCCGTCTGCGGTGGGAGGTTGCATGGCATCTTGACTTGGGCAAAAGGAAGTGTCACCCTGGGAAGTGAAGGATTCTTCACAGCAGTTAATCCTTATGCAAGATGGATCATAAACACCATTGAAAGCTACTGAGGCTCCTCTGTCCCTCCATCCCTTCAGTGCAGTAGCTTCTTGATTTCTACACTGGATCCACAGCTCTATCTTTCCTGTTCTTGAACAGAATTAATTAAAAACAAAAATGACACTAAAAACTTAGGCTGTGGCCCCTGATCTCTTTATCACATAAACTGTAAACATGATGAGAAATTTAGCAACATCCTCACCATTTGTTCATTCAAAAATTATTGAGGGCTTCCCTGGTGGCGCAGTGGTTGAGAGTCCACCTGCCGATGCAGGGGACACGGGTTCGTGCCCCAGTCCGGGAAGATCCCACATGCCGCGGAGCGGCTGGGCCCGTGAGCCATGGCTGCCGAGCCTGTGCGTCCGGAGCCTGTGCTCTGCAATGGGAGAGGCCACAACAGTGAGAGGACCGCATACCACAAAAAACAAAAAACAAAAACTAAAAATAGAACTACCATACGACCCAGCAATCCCACTACTGGGCATATACCCTGAGAAAACCATAATTCAAAAAGAGTCATGTACCACAATGTTCATTGCAACTCTATTTACAATATCCAGGACATGGAAGCAACTTAAGTGTCCATCGACAGATGAATGGATAAAGAAGATGTGGCACATATATACAATGGAATATTACTCAGCCATAAAAAGAAATGAAATTGAGTTATTTGTAGTGAGGTGGATGGACCTAGAGTCTGTCATACAGAGTGAAGTAAGTCAGAAAGAGAAAAACAAATACCGTATGCTAACACATATATATGGAATCTACAAAAAAAAAAAAATGGTCATGAAGAACCTAGGGGCAAGATGGGAATAAAGACGCAGACCTACTAGAGAATGGACTTGAGGACACGGGGAGGGGGAAGGGTAAGCTTGGACGAAATGAGAGAGTGGCATGGACATATATACACTACCAAATGTAAAATAGATAGCTAGTGGGAAGCAGCCACATAGCACAGGGAGATCAGCTCAGTGCTTTGTGACCACCTAGAGGGGTGGGATAGGGAGGGTGGGAGGGAGAGAGACACAAGAGGGAAGAGATATGGGGATATATGTATATGTATAACTGATTCACTTTGTTATAAAGCAGAAACTAACACACCATTGTAAAGCAATTATATTCCAATAAAGATGTTAAAAAAAAAAGATCTATTCTCTTAGAAAATTTCAAGTACACCATACAACAATATTAACTCTAGTCACCATGCTTTACATTAAACCTCCAGAACTTACTCATCTTACAACTGAAAGTTTGTATCCCTTCATCAACATACCCCTATATCCTCCACCCCCTAGTCCTTGGTAACCAGCATTCTACTGTCTGTTTCTATACATTTGGCATTTTTAGATTTCACATTTAAGTGAGATAGTATTTGTCTTACTGTTTCTGGCTTATATCACCCAGTATAACATCCTCTAAAACAAGAAAAACGGAGCTGGAGGAATCAGGCTCCCTGATTTCAGACTACACTACAAAGCTATAGTCATCAAAAAAGTATGATACTGGCACAAAAACAGAAACATAGATCAATAGAACAGGACAGAGAGTCCAGAGATAAACCCACACACCTATGGTCAACTAATCTATGACAAAGGAGGCAAGAATATACAACGGAGAAAAGACAGTCTCTTCAATAAGTGGTGCTGGACAGCTACATGTGAAAGAATGAAATTAGAACACTCCCTAACACCATACACAAAAATAAACTTAAAATGGATTAAATACCTAAATGTAAGACCGGATACTATAAACCTCTTTGAGGAAAACACAGGCAGAACACTCTAGGACATAAATCGAAGCAAGATCTTTTTTGATCTACCTCCTAGAGTAATGAAAATAAAAACAAAAAGAAACAAATGGGACCTAATTAAACTTAAAAGCTTTTGCACAGCAAAGGAAACCATAAACAAAACAAAATACATTATCTCAGTATGGGAGAAAATATTTGCAAACGAAGCGACTGATGAGGGAATAATCTCCAAAATATACAAACAGCTCATGCAGCTCAATAACATAAAAACAAACAACCCAATTGAAAAATGGGTGTAAGATCTAAATAGACATTTCTCCAAAGAAGACATACAGATGGCCAAAAAGCATATGAAAAGATGCTCAACGTCACTAATTATTAGAGAAATACAAATAAAAACTACGATGAGGTATCACCTCACACTGGTCAGAATAGCCATCATCCAAGAATCTACAAACAATAAAGGCTGGAGAGGGTGTGGAGAAAATGGAACCCTTCTACACTGTTGGTGGGAATGTAAATTGGTACAGCCACTATGGAGAACAGTATGAGGTTCCTTATAAAAACTAAAAATAGAGCTACCATATGATCCAGCAATCCCCCTCCTGGGCATATACCCAGAGAAAACCATAATTCAAAAAGATACATGCACCCCAATGTTCATTGCAGAACTATTTACAATAGCCAGGACATGGAAGCAACCTAAATGTCCATAAACAGAGGAAAGGATAAAGATGTGGTACATATATACAATGGAATATTACTCAGCCATAAAGTAGAATTAAATAATGCCATTTGCAGCAACATGGATGGACCTAGAGATTGTCATACTGAGCGAAGGAAGTCAGACAGAGAAAGACAAATATATAATATCGCTTATATGTGGAACCTAAAAAAATAGTACAAATGAACTTATTTACAAAGCGGAAATAGAATCACAGATGTAGAAAACAATCTATGGTTACCGGGGGTTGGGGGGGCAGGAAGGGGGAAAGGGATAAACTGGGAGATTCGGATTGACATATACACACTATTACATATCAAATAATAAGGAGCTACTGTATAGCACAGGGAATTCTACTCAATATTCTGCAATGACCTACATGGGAAAGTAATCTAAAAAAGAGTATATATGTATATATAACTGATTCACTTTTCTGTACAGCAGAAAGTAACACGACATTGTAAATCAACTATACTCCAATAAAAAAAATGTAGAACTTCCTTGTCCTTTGAGAGACAATTTGAGTTTTGGAAATAGGCAAAGTCCTACTGTTAAGCAGTATGTTTGATTCATCTGGGTATGTCACTTGAGTCAAAAAGAGATGTAACTTACAAAAAAGTGCAGTTTATTTTGATCCGGCTCATGAGGTAGTTAAGTAAGCATTTCCAAAAAAAAATTCCCAAAAGAAATGTGGAGCTATACAATTATTGCTGGGCTGGAAAATAAGGCAAAGAATCTCAATCATTTTCTTTTAAAGAATTAATATATTATTTTCAAATAAAGACACTCAAATAAACACACACCCAACTAAAACAAACAAAATCTTAAACTAAAATACTTCCTCCTAAAGAGGAATCTTTGGCAAGAAAACTAACATTTGTGGAGGTACTACGTTGCTCTTGTTTTTCTCATTTTGTTGCAGATTGGAAACATTTTGTTATGGGTCTGCACAGTTCATAGTATGTGTGAACTACTGATATAAAGGAAATAACTTGAATTAGGAATGAAGAGACTTAGTTTCAAATCCTAGTTTTATGGGTTTAAGAAAACCACTTTTTGAGTGATTTTAAATGAAACATTAGGCTTAGAGCTCACTAAATTCCTTCAAACTCTCAGAATAGGAGAGACCTTGTTTAAGGGTACAAACTTGCAACTAGTAGATAAATAAGTTCTGGAAATCTAATACACAGTATAGTGAATATAAATAACAATATTGTATTATAATCAAACTTGCTGAGGGACTAGATCTTAATTTTTCCCACCACAAAAAAGAAATGATAATTATGTGAGGTGGTAGAGGTGAACTGTTGCCACAATGGCAATCATATTACAGTATTCAAATGTGTCAAATCAATACGCTATATACCTTAAATTTATAAAGTGTTTCTCGTCAATATATTTCAATTTAAAAAATCAGAAAGGAGACAGTGATTAATGTAAAATATGGGACAAATAAAAAGCATGGAAGCTCAAAAAGTAAAATAAAATTGAATGAATAAGATTCCAACTCAAAGGATGCTTTTTAAACCTTTGAACTGCCAGAAATGTTTTAAGTAATTTATTTCATTTCATTGCAGAAATGTCTTATATTTACATCTAACTTCCAAGAATTTAATCTCTTTTATAAGTAGATAGATACTTTGTATCATGAGAAATTGTTAATCTGATCATTTCCTATGGTCTTAGTGGTCATAGCTGTGATTTCTCTCAGTGTTTGAACTCTTCCTTTCTACCAGGAGATGAAATGTGATGAAAAAGAGGGAAAGGAAAAAAGAAAGTTTGGTATCTCATAACTCTTCAAGTTCTATTTCTTTCTTTCGTCTAGACAAGGACCCCGACTCACTGCAGAATGTCAATAACTCTGTAATCTCCAAGACTGAGTGCCGCGAAGCCTATAAAACCTACAACATCAGAGATAGTATGATGTGCGTGGGCATCGTGCCAGGAAGGAGACTACCCTGCAAGGTAATGTACTCTCAATGTCTTAATTTTCCCATTTTATTGTGTCCTTTGCCAGAAAGATAACCCAGTTTCCTTTTCCCTGGCAGGAAGTCACAGCTGCCCCTGCCCTGTGCCATGGGGTACAGGGAATCCTGACTTTTGTAGATGGATGTGTTTTGAGAGCCGATGTTGGCATCTATACCAGAATCATTAACTACATACCCTGGATTGAAAATACCGTCCCGAACAACTGAGCTCTCATGATGGGAATTCTAGACCATATGACACCACCTGTCCCCAAGTCCAGCCTCAGAATTAAATCTAATCAGTGTCCTGAGTTGCATCGCACATACCTGTCTCACTCCTGCCCCACAGAGTGGGTGACTGGTACCTACCTGTACTGTGATTATACATGGCAGCCCTCCCTCCTCACCTAATGATGATGATGGCAAACTACACACCCCTTAGGCAGTTGGAATTTATGGAGTGGCAATTGTGTCCTCTCTAACGAATCGACCATTGACTTATTGAAAAAAAAAAGGCCACTCGATTGCCATCTTGGACGACAAAACCCCTACTACTTGCACAGAACTCAATAGCACGTGCTTTTGGCAAGTTACACACGGCAAACGGGAGTCTGAGAAGGATGGCGCTACACAGAAGTCACAGGGAAGGGAGAAGGTCTAAGGAGGGGGGCTGTTGGAGGAATGGCGCTTGGTTTCTCCCTGCCCACACAACTCTCAGCACCAGACAGAGACTCTGGACATTCACTTTGCAGGATTCTCAGTAGGGACTTGCGCTCTGAGAGGTTAATACAAAAGTTAACCGGGGCTTAAGACATAGCAGATGAACAGGGAGTCCAGGATGGATTTTGCCAGTATACCTGCACGTGGGCTCTTTCTATTATGCCAGCTGCCCCGGGAACTGCATTCTCCCCCAGTTATCACTCTTGCCTTTTTCTTCCTTCCTTTTCTTTTCATTTCACCTCTGCAGCTCCATTTACCACCTGAGAGTTTTAATTGATAGTTTTCTATGGGGAGTGGCCTTTGGTCAGTTGACTGAGGATCAAAACCACAAAAACAAAACCGAGTTCTAGAGAGTTCTGTCTGTGGCCATTACCAGTGGACTATTACACCCTTACGGTCTAGCTAGGCAAGAAGAGAACTCCTCTCAGGAAGCAGAAGTTCCAGCAGTAAATCTTGTGCTCACTAGGGTTCTAAAACCTCTAAGTCAATAAAGCCTAGCTTGTGGTGTTGAACAGCAACATTGTGTGTGGATTATTCAGTGCTATTGTGAGCACTTCACCTTCATGTATGTTATTAGTTGAATTTTTTTTTTGCTTTGGAAGAAACAGATGGTTTTTGCAGGAAAGCACCTCAGCCTCTGTAGATGTTTCCGTTTGAAATGGTGCTACAGTTTCAACAGATCATACTGATATCTTAAAAAGCCAACTGATCCCAGGTGATGAAGCAGATGGTAAGGTCACTGAATTCCATGGGCATCAGCCTACTGTCTCACTGCTACCACTGTAAGGTAACTTCCTTGGTTGGAAAGTACATTCCATTTTTGTGGAATATATAAGGGATTCAAGGATGGTGGGGCTGAGAGTGACGATGGCAAAAGAAAGAAAATCCAAATCTAGAATATGTCGGGAATTCCCTGGTGGTCCAGTAGTTAGGACAATGCATTTTCACTGCCGAGGGTGTGGGTTTGATCCCTGGTCGGGGAACTAAGATCTCACAAGCCACGTGGCACAGCCAAAAAAAAAATAGAATATGTCATGTGCAGTGAGAACAAATAGCTACTCCCTCCATGACAAAAAGGGACTCATCTCCCACCACATGGCTGGTGGGAGACCTGGGGTACCAGTGATATGTCATCATTATATTAAGGGTGAGATTGGTCACTGACACTGGCAAACTGGGTCTTTGCAAGAAGTCTCTGCATACGCTCCGTTTGGTTCCATTGCTCACTTTGTTTGTAGAGCCATTTAAAAACCACTCAGAACAATGAGGAAGGACTTCAGAATAGACCGGCTTGTCTATCTGATCGTTAAAGTCTTCTGCAGTGAGAGCATTTTGGTGAGAATTCTCATGGGACACATTTTCCTGCTCCAAGCTGACCTTGAAAAACGCTTGTACATAATTCTTCCTCAAATAACTTATCCCCTCCCCCATCTTGCTCTTTCTGAGTGCCTACCACGGCAGACCACCAGCCACTCCTAAGAAATTCAAATAAATCTTGACCTCAAGAAAGAGAACCAGATACGTTGATTGAACTTTTGTCTCCTGAGAAGAATTCAATTCTCCTTTTTCCTTCATGGCATCCCTCTGAAGGGTTTTAATATCACAACAGTACACGTGCAATTGGACCAATATATCAACCAAAGTTATGCATAATCAAGGTGAAGTCTTTTCACCCTCAGCGAACTGTTCAGGGAGAAATCTCTTTGAGGTCATAAGTGTGGATTGAGGAAAGGTTGCCCAGAGCAATTGCTTATGCAACTAGTTTGGACACTCAGTGCCTGATTTACCTCTGTTCCATTTACGTTTCTAATTGAGAATGTAATGCTACTGAGCATATCCAAGTTAATGACAAGGAGAGGAAGGTAGCCCCACCTAGAGCAAGTATCATGGTTAACAGGTGGTCGGCAGTCTGGCATTTAATCTCCACCTGACCCTAGTAGCAAACAAGAAGCTATTTCTCAAAAAGCTACGGTGACTTTGCTACCTAGTTTAGGGATCTCTGTGTTGATTTTCTTATTAGGCTTTGTCATACACTTCATCTAGGTTGCTAAAAATACTGTTAGCACTATTGGAGCTACAGAGTTTAAACCCAAGAAACAGAACCAATTGTACTTCAACTTGTGCAGGCTGGAGAATCTTTTCTGACTTAGTCTCTCCCTAAACTAGCAACTTTTTAGATCACTCATTAAATGGCTCAGAGCATGACATCCCAATGAGATATATGTTGCTCATAAAATTTAGAGACCTTCGGACATCACTCTTAATGGTAGAGAGCACAAGTTTCAACAACGCGTTCATTTCAGTGGAGGAACCAATCATACACCCACAAGCTTCACTGCAGAAGCAGGTGATTCTATTTTTACTTGTTGCGTCACCTACTCATTACCATACATCTGTTTTCCCAAGACATCTGGGAAACTTGCTACTTGCTGTCTGGTCCTATCGCCATGATATCATCAATACAGCGGACCAGTATGGTACCCTTTGAGACTGCCAAGTCCCTTAAAGATTACATTCAGGTACAGGGCCAGAGCAATCATGATTGCTCTGGAGGTGAAATATATACTGCTGTTTCTGCCAAATGAAAGCTAAAGTAATTCTGAACTTCTCAAAGACAATGTACAAAAATGCACTTGCCGTGATCATAAATGGGTAAACAGATAAAAAAATGTTGTGGTATAGCCATACAATAGAATACTTCACAGCAATATAAACGAATGAACGTTCAATACAACTATCAACATGGATAACCTCAAAATAATTAAGCTGAGTGAAATAAGCCAGACAAAATGAATACGTACAGTATGACTCCAGTTTTATCTACATGCACACAGATCTACAGTGACTGAAGGCAGTGGTCTAGTGTAGGCAAGGATGCAGAAAGTGGAGTGAGGGAGAGGTAACGCGAAGGGAAACATTTCTACGCGTGATACATATGTTCATTATCTTGGTTGTGGTGACGATTTAATCACATGTTTAACAAACCTTTCAAACTCATCAAATTGTACGTTTTAAATATATGCAGTTTATCATATGACAATTATATTTCAATAAAGCTATTAAACAACAACAACATAAATGCACTTGCTAGGTGAATAGTTGCATACCAAGAACGAAGGACTGTATTTATTTGCTCTGGTAAGGAGGCTACGTATGGAACAGTAACTATAATTGGCATTACCACCTGATTACCCAATAATCGAACACTATCATTCCCCACTACTCTTTTGACTTGGGCCAAGCTGAAGAACTGAATGGGATTATAATAGAAATTACCACCCAGCGCAGTTCAAGCCTGTGTTGGTAGTACTGATCTCGGCAATGTGCTCATGCATTAGATTTACTAAAGAAAGTTTCTGTCAACTTCCTCTTAGCGTTTTCTACAACGAAAGCCCTCCGGTCACAGGCCAGGGAGAGATTGTAATAGTTGTAGCAATTCTACCAGTTGTAGATTAAAAAGTGCACCTCCCCCAGCAACAGTACACATAGGAAATAAGGAAATAAATCCAGAGCCCCACTGAATTGCTCTAGGAAAGACTTAGGTTAAAAAAAAAAAAAATCCATGAATCGCTCAATTTTCATAAGCCCCACTCTGATCAGAGGTTGGCACGGACCATGTCTTCCCCCCACCACCAATTAGAACTCATTCAGGTTCCCTCAAAAAATTAAGCTATGTTCTTGTCCGTGGAGCACAAGTTGCCAGGCAAATAGACACTGGTCACTTTTATATAAGCTCGAAGCCTCTCAGTGTTAGAATAGAGTCCATTCTCCAGCTCCCTTCCACTCAAGGGGCGTCGAAACAGTTAATATAACTAACAGGTCTGTGAGCGAGAGAGGAGGCTGTGATACTTTCGCACACTGACTCACATCGGTCCACTGTTATCAGATCTGTTGGTGTGGTTTTTTGGTTGGTTTTTTGATTATGTAAATCAAATAAGAACTTGAACTTCCTGTCAATTTCATTCCCGGGGATCCCGTTTTTATGGAGAACCCTTGAGAGAATCCTCTTCAAGGCCCCAAAACATCATCATGTAATATCATTCATTTCCATTTTGAGTTAGAGAAGCAGGTAAAATTAATAACTTGATGTTGTCTATGTTCCTTTAGCAAGTTACATGAAAATGTAAAAGGTTCTTTAGCAGGAGATAAATGACACTGAAGGAGGAGAAAATGTGACACCTACAACGTTCTTCTTCAAGGCTTCTCTGTTCATTTGCATTTTGTGTTTTTAACAGAAAATAGGACGGAGGCTACCCCTCAGTATCCTGAAGGGCGGGATGAGTCTTCCTCATTTTAAGTTGCAGCACTGGGCATCCTGTTGTCCTATATCTAAGCCGCATTCTCTATCAGCTCCATAAGTAACATTGCTAGGAATTTCCCTCTCCATCTGCCCTACTCCTTTATCTCTCTCAATTTGTTCAGAATTTATGTAGAGAAAATAGGGGTGTCACTCCTTATAGCCTCCTCAAATGCTAACAATACGTCAGGATTGGTGATACGCCCAAAACCACCATTCTCAAGGCTGAAAAGATCCCCAAAGTGAAATGTGAATGGATAGGGTCTCACAAAAACTAGGTGAAGGTTAGGCTGGAGCTTGTTCTTGTGCACAGAAATGAACACCAGCTACTGCACTGATGAGACTTTCAAGACGTCTTAGAACTTAATTTAGAATTTCTTCCTTTGTGTATTTACTTCAAGGATGGGAGGATCTGAGAAACCATAAAGTGAGCTCTTTTCATAGGGAACCAGGGTGGAAAAAAAAAAAAGCCCTGGTTTAAAGTCATTGGCTCAAACAATTGGAATAGAATCAAATTGCCCAGCGGAAGCTAAAGATGGAGCTTTGAGAAGCTGGACCAGGGTTGGACACTAACAAGAAACCCCAAGGCCATCACTCCCAGGCCCTTTGAAAACTCACACAGCACTAGGCAGCTTGCTTATCTTACTTTGGGCTTTCTGGCAGCTACTCTGACCAAAATTAAACCAATATGCCATAGAGACAAATGTCTTCCCCTTGTCTTTCCCCCAGTCTATACTGGCTCGTCTCTGCCTCTCTGAAGCCCCAAACCCCTACCCTGATCAATTTAATTGGCACATCTGTAATCCGTAGAGCTCCATCTACAACAGCAGCCCAAGACCGGGGTCCAATGCTGTCCTTCGTGAAAGGAGTTTAAACATCCTCCTTATTCACGTGACTCATCACCAACCCAAACTTGCTATTACATTTTTCTGCCTTAACAGGCCCAATTCTAATGACTGGGCTTCTGTTCTGTTCCTGCAGTAAAGTCACCCTTTGTATCCCAGTTGCATTAATGCTGTCTTTGACTTGACAACCTTGTCTGATTCTCTGGCTCCTATAAGCTTGGACTCTGCCTTACTCTCCCCAGGTGGTGCTAGAAACCCGTAAGAGGCCAGCTTCTTGCTGTCAGAACGTCCTGCTGCTAAGTGCCTGCCATACACTTAAGTTTCCCTGGCCTGCCACGCCTCTACTGGCCACCTGGCCCTGACAGCCTGCCTGGTTGCCCTTCTACCCTCACTTCAGTATGCTTTGGCGTTAGCTTAGCTGAATCCCTCCTGTTATTGTCAACCCCATCCCCCCTCTTTGACTTCTACCATCTGCCCCACCACTGCAAGTTCATTTAATTTATAGATTCCCCCAAAGAGTGACCTAGGGTTAGTGTAGTTGAGAGAGTGTGGATTTGGGATCCAAGCTGGTATTTAATCCTAGCTTCAACAGCTACTAGCTGTGTGTCCTTGGGCAAGTAATTAAGTAACTTAACCTCTTTTGCCTTAGTGTGTTTATCTCTCAAATGGGACCCATAATACTTTTCTGGATTGTTGAGAATAAATAACTTGTGTAAGGCACGTAGCATAATACTTTGCACATGGTAGGCACTCAAGAGCTCATAATTCCACTGAAGCCTTTACCAAGGGATGACTGGGAATCTGTCACCATTTCTTTACACCTGTGCTTATTTCTTCAATTAGAATTAAACTTATTTGCTGGGACTTCCCTGGTGGTCCGGTGGTAAAGACTTCGCCTTCCAATGCAGAGGGTACGGGTTTGATCCCTGGTCAGGGAGCTAAGATCCCACATGCCTCGCCGCCAAAAAAACCAAAACATAAAACAGAAGCAATATTGTAACGAATTCAATAAAGACTTTAAAACAATGGTCCACATAAAAAAAAATCTTAAAAAAAAAAGAATGAAAACTATTTTCATGTCCAAACATGTCAGGATTCATCCCAAACCCAGTTTATCCAGTTCACCCCAGTTTATCATCAACAAACTCCCACCAGGGCACTCTGTGTGTATGCCTAAGCTCAAGGGACCCTTGCGTGGATCCTGAAACCCTAACAATTATTAACTCATTATCAACTCCCCTCTCCCCAAGCCCACCTGTATTTAATCCCCCCTACCTTCACATTAGACGCCCTTTTCCTCCCCTACTCAGGGGCCCTGAAACGATGGCATATGGGTCTTAAATACTAGCTGTGTGTCTGCTTGGGGCTCAGGAGTCTGAATTACAACCAAGATGTTACACAAAGATATATAACTCCTTTCTTTGCCGCTCAGAACTACAAGCGAAATTTTGAGCTCATGCTTTCTGCTCTCTGAGGACCTTCTAAATGAAAGAATAAGGAAGGAAATAAGAGGGGTAAAATTTGTAGGAAGTAAAGAGGAAACATGCCTCATATTTCTTGAAAGTCACACCCTATCTAGTAAAATACTGACAACTGAGCAGGCATTTTTATACATTGATTGATTGATTGAGAGAGTGACTGAGACAAAGGAGAACAAGTAGACAGCTGTCGTTGGTGACTGTATTCACGTGCCAGTCCTTCAATTCCACGATCTTCAGACTAATTCAAACCGTGAAGACAACTACAGGGCAGAAGCTGGTTTACACGAACAGAAAATACACTGCTTTTCCCTCCAAGTGATTAGATTTAATCAGTACAATTCTGTCTATTCCAGTCTGATCCTGCATCCAGGGTGACTAGCTTGGCCCTTTCCTCACTCTTCTTCTCGGGCCACTCACCTGACCTACTCCACGTGGTGTGTAGACTTCCCTGCGTTCTCTGACCATGTTTGCCAAACGGCCTCTCCCGATGGCATCACATCAATGTTTTTTATTGCCCCCAACCAGGGTTTGAACCCTGTGTCCCAGCAGTGAAAGCACCGAGTCCTAACCACTGGACCACCAGGGAATTCCCACATCACTAGCCATGTTATGTGCATCGGCTTTCCGGAGGGGGGCAAAGATGCCGGCCAGGTAACACCTCCCCCATCCCAGTAGTAATGTATTCATTATGCAGAGAGAGGTGTTGAGAGTCCTAGACGTAGAAACAGAATTCCTGTTTGTTGAGACCTGGTTCTACTACTATTAGCTATGTGACATCAGGCAAGTCATACAAACTCTTGAGCATCCATTTCCCTATCTTAAAAAAAAATGGCGGTATGTACTTGCCTAATAGAGCATTTGAAAGTATTGAAGGAGAAAATGAAATTAAATATACTTTGCAAAGAAACGGACAAATCACTTATCAACCTGAAGACGGGAGACTCACAGGACATTGATCAATATTTCCTATCTGAGTAACCAGGGAATAACATTATCCATTCAGTCAAAAAGCATCGTTTGAACCCCTACCATCTGCCATTCTGCGACGGCTAGTTTCATCACCATGGAATCAAGGATACAGGCAATAGTATTAAGGCATAGCTCAGGGTCTGAGAGAGCAGAATTGCATCCAGGAAGTCGCCAGAGAGCTCTCAGGGATTGAGGTTGAAGGGAACCCATCGGAGCAATGGTCCTTTCCATCACTCCAGCCAGATGCTTGGCTGTAGTTGTTTTAAGAACTGCCAGCAGAGGGCCCCAGCTTTCCTTTAAGAGCCGGTGGCCCAGGGCCTCCCTGCCCTACCATTTCCTCTGTATTAAACCGCCTCTCGATGGCCTCTGACGGCGGACCTCCCAGTGATATTCTCAAACAGAGGTACCCTTCCTGGAGAAATGAGAGAACACAGGTCTCCAGATGCCCCCAGGGCTCTGGGCCAGGCTCTCGACCTCCTCTTCATCCCTGTCCTTGTCCTCTAGAGCTGGGCAGGTGTTCACCACCACACCTGAAAGGGGCTGAGAGAAGACCAACACCTATGGCTGCTGTCATGCCCTTGGTGCAGGTCGTGGAGATCCGTGGGCAGATGGCGCTCCCTGATGGAAAAAACTTCTCACTGCCCACAAGCACTGAGGAAAGAGCAAGTGCTTGCAGCTCTGCACCGCAAACCACACGCCCCCCGACCCTGCCATTAGAGACGGGGCTGCCTTTGAAATGCCTCCTTATTCACTCACTCCCACCCTGCACCCCAGTTACCTGCTCACGTGGTCCACACCGTCTAGGATGGAGAAGCTCTGAGCTGGAAGCAGAGTGGATTAGCTGAGCTGGAAGCAGAGTGGATTAGCTGCGGTCCGGTCTCCCATCTCTGCAGGGGTCTCAGGATGGGGTTCTCTCTCATAACGCCTCTCCCGCTGGTTCCCGGCCATTTGTCTGGGGCTGAGTCTCCTTGTTCTGCCCTCACTCCATGTGTGCCCTTCCTCAGGCTGCAGACCCAGTTCTGAGCCACGGCTTTTAGGTCAATATTTGGTAAGTCCTCCACTATGGAACCCAGACGCTGGTCCTTTCTAGGTCAGGCCCTCTCTGTGGATCTTAATTTTAGAAAGATCGACTTGAGCTTGAGGTGTGAGAAATTTAGGCAGTGCTGAGTGCGGAGAATGTGGATCTAATTGGAAAAAACGTGTGCTTATTTATTCCAGGGGTGTGAGTGGGGGGTCATACGTTGAGATATTCACTCTACTCCTTTTCTGAGCTCCCAGAATTTCTCTGGGTTTCTTTTCAGCACCCCTCTGGGCACTGATACTGGTATTGAAATGCAATATGCTTTTTTTTTTTTTTTTTTGTGGTACGCGGGCCTCTCACTGTTGTGGCCTCTCCCATTGCGGAGCACAGGCTCCGGACGCGCAGGCTCGGCGGCCATGGCTCACGGGCCCAGCTGCTCCGTGGCATGTGGGATCTTCCCGGACCGGGGCACGAACCCACGTCCCCTGCATCGGCAGGCGGACTCTCAACCACTGCACCACCAGGGAAGCCCGCAATATGCCTTTTATACACGCATACTGTGGAGAAAATAGCTAACAGTGATTAAATGCTTCCTACGTGCCTCTGTATTTTCCTAAAGGCTTCACCTGAATTGCGTTGTTAATCCTAGCAGCAACCTTCTGAGTTGGGTAGAGTTACTGTCTGTACTTTGCAGACACAGAAACTAAGTTTCAGTGAGATGAGGTCCTCCCCAAAGCCCCAAGTGGCAGAGTCAAGGCTGCCCCCAGCCCTGCAGAGCCCACGGGTCGATTGCTGTGCTCATTTGGCCGAGTGTCTCTGAAGCGCAGTGGGAAAGTGGCAGGGGAGGTCTGCTTGTAGTAAAGAGGCCAGAAGGGAGTCTCTGGGTGGGGAGGAAGCAGGCTGGGGGACCGTCAGGGCAGAGGAGGACATTGGGTCTGTGGTTGGGAACCAGGGGTGGTTTTTATTCATTTGCCCAAGAAGGATGTCTCACTGTGTCTTTACTGCAGGTGCAGAATAGGGTTCTGCCCTGGGTCACATTGGCCACGTGTAGGTTCAGCTCTGTTTCACCGACCCGCGTGGCTCGGTAATCTGCTCCAGGAAGGGATATGACCTTCTCATCCCCAGAACTCCGCAGTTCGGCCAGCAACTGTAGCTGCCCCTGGAGATCCTGTTGGTACCAGCTCATCCAGGGGTATTGGGAATTCCTCAGGATGCAGTGCAGTGTTTCAGCCTGTCCGCGAGGTACCAGGACCCACCTGGGGCTTTGCTCCACGAAGCTTGTGTCGGCATCTGAAACACACAAGCAGTCCAGGCTAAAGGTTCTGGGGGTAGTAAAGGTAGCTAAAGGTCACTGCCAGAAATAACTAGTTATAGCCGAATCCTGAAGAGGGGGTCCTATGAGTAAGGCGGAGAGGAGGCTGCTGGGAACAGGACGGGCACTCTCACAGGGCGAGGAGATACGCAGATCTGGGATCAGGGAGCAAAACCTTCTGTACCCACAGGGGCCCCAGTGACCCAGTCCCTTTTTCCCTCCCTCAAGCCACCGAGTGGCTGTCTCTGCCTGGCCTCTGACCTGTACTCACTGCACCCATGAGAACCCAGCCCCACAGGATGGGAAACAGGGCCATTCCTGGGCCTCTCCGGCAGGGCAGTGGGACAGGGGACCACGGGACAGGGACAGCCTAGGCAGGAGAGCTCATCTTGGCCTGTAAGGTGGCGACTGGTGTCTGAGACTCTCTGGGCCCGACACTCAAAAGGGAGCGGCTTTTCCAGGAAACTCAAGATCTTATCTTCTCACTGAGGCTCAAACCTCAAACTGGAGTTTCCTGTTTCGGCACGCCAACACGCACTCACTCGTACACACTCCCCGGGCTCACTGGGGGCCTTAGTGAAGGTGCCTGGCCCTGCACCCTCTTAGCTGCTTCGCAGAGATTCCATGCTGAATCCGTGCCTCACGTTTTTGCAAGGAATTAAAATAACTCATTGCAATGAAGCCACACTTGCAGATTGAACAAAGACATCTTCTCATAGGCACAGAGGCTGCTGCAGGTCAGTGTTGGGCGGTCGGCAATGGACACTCATCTCCAGTGACCTGTGTTTTCCTCTGTAAAAGCAAATACAAACCAAATGGAAGAGGCTCAGTTCTCCTGTTGAAAATAAGGGGAGAGACTTCCCTCCCCTCCATTTTCTTAGAGCATTTACTGTAGAAAACTTGTAAGTTCTTTCTGTGTCTCTTTGAAATGCACACACTCTTAAAAGCTAAATCACCTCTTGCCAGCATTAAGACCCAGGAATGTCTTTCTCAAGGACCTGCAACCATCTCTTCGGAATATAAACATCAAGGAAGATGAGCTTAACTTAGTCTAGAGCAGACGGCTGGCACCGAGTTGCAAAATGATTTCATCATAAAGATATAACATGTTTATCTCTCCTTTGGTAAAGCCAATTTGCAAACACAGATAGACAGCCCAATTACCAAGCGACTTCAGCTGTGGATTAACAAAAGGTCCTGTCGAGTCCTCTCATTTGGGGACTAGTTATTGCTTATCTTGAGAACACGTGTGTAGTGGGTTTGATCTGCTGGTCTGTACGATAGGCCGAAATTTCTTTTTGTCTCTGCAATCTCTTAACAAAATGCTTGTGGTGTGTATCACATTCTGACTTAATGATTATTCAATAATAAAACTGTTTTCTTTCTCTTCTACCCTTGTGGAGAGATTTTCTGAGTTGGGAGGGGATTTTGTTTTTAATTGTATTTTCCCAGCAACACACAGTGCTGCCACTTACTGGCAGTGTGAACTTGGACTTCGGTTTCTTCCTCTGTAAGACGAAGATAATGATGAAAGCCATTTCATAGGAGTAAGTGGATTCATACATGAACATTTCTGAGAGTAAAACTTGGCAGAGACTAATCGCTTAATGAGTTGGCCTCTATTATTGCAATTGTAAACTTCCGATAAAAACATAGTGGCTTTTATTGGTCTTTAATCTCCTATCCTTAGTAATCAACTGAGATTCAAATCACAAGTTCTCATACTTTTTAACATTGATAAGAGGCCTCGAGTTTTGGTAACCCATGATCTGGGAAATGAGATTTAAAAGACCCACACCTACCGTGGCTACAACCTCAGCATGTTATAGACAGAGCTATGGAGACACAGAGGGGTCTAGCAACAAAACTTTACTCTTTCAGGACCTGGGGCTGCACAATATTTAAGTTGGTGTCAGGACACTCCATAGATGGAGAAGGGAATTAGAGCAGGGTGAGGCTGCAGACCCATCTTCTGAGAGAGTCTGTGTCGCGGCCCAGCAGTGGTCTGGCCTCCTGGGGGTCTGTGCCTCCCAGAGTCACTATTTTTTCTAATCTGCTGGAGTTTTAATACATGCAACAATACGGTTCACATGAGTCACGGATGGCATTTGGTGATGGCATAATACAGTTTACAATTCACTTGGCTCGCAAGCTTTGAAACCGTGTGGTTCCCGATTTTTTTTAAAATACGGATTTTCATTATGTACAATTCCGTGTGTAACTTCATTAATATTTTCTATATCACACTTTCAAATTTGCATAATCTAAATGTGCACAAAATGTCAATTGCACTGCATTCTAAGTAACGTGCTGATTCCCTTTTTTGGGGGGGAGGCGGGAATCTGATTTTTTTGTACGTAAGTTTCAGGTGTACAGCATTATAATTCAACACCTGTACACACTGCAAAGTGATCTCCACCGCAAGTATGGTTACCATCCATCACCGTGCAGTTGACCCCCTTCACCCACCCCCGTGTCCCCTTCCCCTCGGGTAACCTCTGCTCTGATCTCATGTGCTGAGTCACTCTTGTCTTTGGCCCCCTTACCTATTCCCAGCCACATCCGTCACTCCAGAGAGGGAGAGAGATGAGCTCTGTGAAGCATTGCCCAAATCACACCTCTTGAATACCAGACCAAAGGACACGCGGAGAGGGTGTGTCCTCACCAGCCTCGTGCACTTAATCCTGAGGTTTGCTTCTGAGAAAGTCAACTCTGGGATTTGGATGACTAAAGGAAAGGGGGCTGGGAGAGGGGAGAAAACCATAACTGGGGTTGTGGTGGTCAGCACTCTGGCCGGTGAGTGGGTTGCAGGAAAACGGATCCTGGACCCATCTTGGTTTACAGGGCTGGCAGTCCTATCTCCCGGCCCCATTCTCCATTTGTCTTAATCCCCAAGTGCGATTGGGATCACAGTGTCTCTGACACCCCTGTTATCTCCTCCCCGGGCTCCGGTTCCTCAAGGTCTGTGACTCCCCAGGCTCCACCCTCTGGCCTTGGCCAGGCTCCCGTCCTGGGCCAGAGTAAGCCTCTTCCTTCCAGGTGGCTGCTTGGCTCCCTACCTTCTCTGCCTGCTCAGAGGTGGGTGGTATGCTTGCCCTCTTGGGAACGGTGTCTTCTCCCCACCGCGCCCCACTTACTACTCAGTTACTACTCACAGCAGCTGCAAACAACCTCAGCTGGGTCCTTACCAGCTTTGATGGGCTCCATAGGTAATGAGAAGAACACGCGTGGCCTGAATGGAGGCGTAAACGGAGGTGCCCTCACTCAAGCTGGATTCCTGTGTGGAGGTGTGTGGTCCGGATTCTGTGATGGAGGAGGCCCTCGAAGCATGTATCCTTGTTAATTTTTCAGATCCTCACCATTGTCTGATGGAGGAAGAACACTGAGGGTCAAATGATTATCAGCTCTGTCACTCACACTGGAAGAAAGAACTCTAGGATTAGAGACTTTGGTCCCCTCCCTAAGGAGCAGCCAGCAAATGACACCAGCTCCCTCCACCAGGACAAGCCAGGTACAGACGCCTCCAGGGGGCTGCGTGTCTTATGGGTGTCTGTGACCTAAGGAAATAGTGCAAAGAGCACCATCCTGGGGGCAGGGCCCCTATGGCCTCGCAGTTAGCTCTGCCGCCGACGGATGGGGTTCGGGCACTACACATGTTACTCCCTGATGTTCCCATTTCCTCATCAAAAAATTAAGTGGACTGGAATGTTTGGAAAATCAAGTGGATCTAAAGTTCCTTTTCACTCTGGTGTTCTGATATTTTAATATTCCTCTGCGTTTCTTCTGTTTGCCTCGTACCAAAGAGCTTGCCAGCGGGGAAGTTGGCCAAGACTCCAGTGGAGGGTCCCCGAAGGTGACTTCTCCAAATGGCAATCTGTGGAAGGAAGGGCAACATGCAGAGTATCCCAAAGGCAAATTCACATTTATTCCCCTTTTCTCCCTCTCCTTCCCCTCCTCCGCCTCTTTGCTCCTCCCCAGCGACGTGCAGAAACTTGCAGCTGCCCCAGACGTGCCCATCTGGAAAGCTGATTATGGCTCCTTCACCTCTACATGTCCTTCCAGGGATTAGTAGTAAAGACTCCTCCAGGAGATGGAGACCATAGCCTTCCCCTCCGCATTTCCCAACACCTCCTCTCCTCCTGCACTGTAGGGAGGCTGGAAGGCAGGGCCACTTGGAGTCCCACTCCCTGTCTGTGCATCACTTCTATATAGAGACAAAATAGAAAATGCCCGTAAGAAGTTGGGGTGAGGGACATGTGCCAGAGGCCAGAGCGCTCAGTAAGAACATCCAAGGATACAGGGATGGTGGGGGCAGAAACGGAGAGAATGGAAGGACGGAGAGAGAAATAGAGGGAGAGGCAGGGAGAAATAAAACCTCCTTGATTCTGCAGGGTCCCCATGGGTAGGACACTGGTATTGGGTCAGGAGGGAGGAGACTGAGTGATTCATTCCCAAGAATTTCACGCCAGGTCCCTACTCCAGGGCAAGGGCAACCTTCTCTGGGCACCTTACGCCTCCAAGTTGTGTAAGTGGTACCACTCTGAACCCAGAGATAATGAGATCAGAAGAGTCCCAGTCTGTCCCTCCCCCGTGGCACGGTACCTAGCACAGGCAGAGGTACATATAAGTCCATACTTCTTGAGTGTCCGTCTAAGGAGAGATGCTTCAGACCCCAGGAGCCATGGCCTGTGCCCTTCTCTTTCGGCTTCTCCTACTTACGGCCCTGCCGACCTCCTCTCAAGGCAACCACCTGGGCCTCACATCACGTCTGCGTTATTCCATGTTCCTAGATCCTTCTAATGTTACTTTCCTGCACTGGGACTTTGACCTTGAGGCTGAGGTCGTCACTTTTGAGCTCCAGGTCCAGACAGCTGGCTGGGTGGGCCTGGGTATCACAAATAGCTACACCATGGTGGGAAGCAATCTGGTTGTTGGAGGAGTCTCGCCGGACGGCAATGTCTATTTCTCGGTGAGTGTGAGGGTGACTCCCTCCCGTGAGGGTCTCTTGCTGGGTGGAGGGTGGCTCTGAGTCCAGGAAGGATCCACATTTTCCAAACACATCCAGGCCCAGAGCACCAACTGATGGCTGACCTCTCCCTACAGAAATGGTCCATTGGAGAGTTTGAATCTAGGTCTTCCAGACTGCATGTCTGTAAGTTGCCAAGGGAATGGAGCCATTGGACTGAAAGAGAGAGAGTCCTGGACCACAGTCTCGGTGCAGGTCACTGGGGGAAGAGTCAAAGCTGTTTGGTACACAGTCCTCATCTTCAGTTACCTTTAGGATCAGTCAAATAGACCACAACATAAAATAATCTAACAACAACAGCACCTGCAACAATAATAGCTTAAAATTGTTACTCATTTTTGGTTAAGCAGCCATTGGTCCAAATTCTTTGCACATTAAACCTCACAGCATCACCATGAGGTTTCTTCCCCCATTTTACAGATGAAGACGCAGCTCACCTGTCTCCCAGTCTCACTCAATCTGAACTTCATTTATATGGCGAAGTGCCCATGTTAAGAGCCCCATGAGAAGAGGAATAGCGTAGACAGTTCAGAGAATAAGTGAGCTTTTAAGACTTGGGGATACAGGAATATTAGGATTTATGGAGATGAGATTTGAAATGGGAGAAGCAAAGCAAGGTCAAGTGGTTAAACTCCATCACTGTCCATCCCTCTTCCCCACGAATCCCCCGTTGATGCCATGCTCTGTCCTAGGAGCAAATTATAATACAGAGCTGGGTTCTGCTAATTTGGTACTTTATTGGGGCTAAATGGACCCAGACTACTCTGAACCCGTGACCACGTAGGGCTCCTGGTTCTTACCCCTTCACCTTTCCTGGACCCTAGAATCAGCACCTGGTGGATGAAGACGCTCTGGAGGAGGGAGCCAGGACACAGAGCTGCAGGCACTGACAGAAGACACCATCTATACCACCATGTGCTTCTCCAGGCCCTTCTGCTCCTGTGACCCTCAAGACCAAGACATCACGGTAAAAGAGGGAGGAGAGAGGAGCATTTGCTCACAAGCAGCCTTCCTTCTAGGAGGTGAAGTCACCCCCAACCTGGAATGGCCATGCCTGTCAGGCAGCCAGTCTTGGTTCCAGGGCCCTCGTCTCTCTCAGCCTTCCCAGGCACGGCCCCAATCCTGCCGCCTCTGATTCCACCAGCCCTCTACAGGTGGCCTCCCACTGACTCAGCCCCATGCCACCCTCCCTAGTGTCCCCTCCTGAAGAACCTTGTCTGATCTCCTTGAACTTCAGTGTCATGAACCAGATGTGGACACAGGCTCAGAGAGGGGACATGAGAGGGGGTGTGACTTACTCAACATCTCCAGCAAGTCAGCCTCTAGGCAGAACTGGAACCTGACTAGTTCTGACCCCCAGTCTGAAGTGTTCTCCTTTCTGAAACCGCTAGGTGGCATTTTGGGGGGCTCCAAGGAGCTCTGGTTCTTTATGTCTCAGTGCAGAAAGAATCCAGGGAGACGCAAAGTGATAGATAAGAAGTGAGTTATTAGAATAGGAAGCTTGTGAGGCTTATATCAGGTGGGTGAGAGGGTGCCGCCCCAGAGAACTTAGTGGTCTACAGTTTTACAATCAAAGGAAAACTGGGGAGGGGGAGAAGACCAACTTCTTCCTCATTCTTGAGTAGACACAAGCTTCCATCATCAGCTCTGCCTCCAGGTTGGGCAGGGGAGTTTTCTTGTCCCAACATGATCAAGCCAGGACTGTCGTGGTACTACGGAAAAGTTATTTCAGGTCTCAGTACAGTGAGGGTCTTTCACTTTGACATGTCACCTTTCCATAAATTATTGTTTTCTATGTGTGCAGAGAGCATGTCCTAGGGGTCATTAACTTACTGAGCTCACTGGGAAGGATATGGGTCTCAGGTCACCATTGTTTTATTGTTTGGGGGCATGTCTCACGCTTCTGTTGCATGGTTTTGTTGCTAAGCAAGCCTGCTTGGTTTTGTGGTTAAGTAAACCTGCTTTCTTGAGTGATCATTAACTTACAGGGGTCCGCCATACTTTTTTCTCTACTTACAATCCCCTTGTGGTATTAACTATTTAATCACCTAGTTTGTCCCTTCACTCTGTCCCAGTAAGTTCCACTGTGTCGATGTGAGCAAGTGGCTTGTGTCAGTGGTTGGATGTGGGTGTGTGCAAGGTGCTGCTCGTGGGCTGCAGCACCTCGATGCCCCCAGAGTGACACTGTGAGGGTGCTTGCCACCTACGGCCCAGATGACACTCTGAAGCTGGATCGGGAGCGTACTTTTGTGAGTCCATCTACAAATTGTCCACCCCGATGATCTCGATGTCCCCGAGGACACCATCATCCATGACTTGGAGATCACTGATGTAAGGCCCCTCCTCCCCACCCAGCCACCTCCAGCCACTGCCCACCTTCGTCTCAATCCAGACCTTCCTCTTGCACCCAATATTCAGTACGTTCCTGGAACTGAGGTTCCTCTGACTCCCCTTGGTCCCCCGAGGATGGTCAAACTGGCTCTCAAGTGGCCGCCCTTCCCCGACCTGTCCCTTCCCCTGCTTCTCCAGGAGACTCCCTACCACCTGCTCAGCCTCTGTGTGTCCTTCTCCAGTTCTTCATCCCAGAGGATGACACCACGTACGCCTGCACCTTCCTCCCTCTCTCCATCGTTAGCAAGAAGCACCGTATCTACAAGGTACCATGAAACAGACTTCAGGACATTGTCAAGGTGGTTGAGACAGGCAGTGGGCATGGCTGACTCTGAAGAGATGGTGTTCAGAAAACTGCTGGGAGGATGAAGGAGGGAGGTGGTCAGGAGAACACGGGGGCCAGGCCAGGTTTGGTGGAGGTGGCAGTTTCATGATTTCCCGAGCCCAGAACTACAGCTCCCAGCACTGTTTTATTCACGCCCCACAGTGCAGCAGCGATTTTGATGACGGTCATTGGTTAATAAGTGTTTGCAAAGAACAAAGTATAAGTCCTGTCCTGGGCCCAGAATTGTGTTCTCTTAGCCCAGGAGGAGGTGCAGGCTGGGGAGACGTGGCCAAAGGCTGTCAAGTCGGGAAAGTCTGGCTAGAGGAAACTCAAGTCGGTCATCTGACTTCACATTTGAGTGATTTCAATTTTGATCGAATAAATAAAAGTGTGACCTTACAATGAGTGGCAAATGTGTGGGAGCCATTGTTTTCTTTAGAGAGTGAATCCAACAAGGCACGATCACATGCTCAAATACAGAGAACTGACGGGGTTCTTAAGGGAAAGTAGAAAGTCTTGGGATGTTCCCGGCTGGATCAAGTGTGTTGTGCTATCAGGAAGGGATTTTAAAAGGGTGAGGGCTGAGAGAGGAGTCAGACTGAGTGCAGGGGAAATGATAGGTTGGGGAAGGAAAAAAAAACAGAGGAAACAGAAGAGAAAGAGAGAGAAGTGGGGACGGGCATAGTTTTATTTGGGGAAAAGGAATAGGGGGGATAAGAACATGGCCCAGAAGATCTTGACCACACTCTGTCCTGCGTCCCCCGCCCAGTTTGAGCCCAAGTTGGTCCATCACAAGGAGACGACGGTGCACCACATCCTGGTGTACCGCCTGCGGCAACACCAGTGCTCTGCCCAAGGGCATCAGCGACTGCTACGGGGCCGACCCCGCCTCCTCCCTCTGCTCACAGGTCATCGTGGGCTGGGCTGTCGGGGACACCGTGAGTCGTGTGATGAGAGAAATCAGCCGCTAAGGGGACACGTGTGGTTGGGCAACTGGGATCGTTGGATTGATGGAAGGTGGGGAAACGGGAGGTCTGGGACGAGGGCCAAAAGACAAGGGCAGGCCCGGGTCCCTGCACCTACTTCCCAGCCATTCTTGCCGCCAAATCACCCTCCATCCAACAGAGTTACCAGTTTCCAGGTGACGTGGGTATCTCTACTGGGATGGCTTTGGACCCCCAGTGGGTCCGACTGGAGATTCACTACAGCAATTTGCAGTCTTCCTGGTGAGCGCCTAGAGCATTTACGGGAGAGCGGCGGTGCGGCTGGCTGAGCCCTCTAGGTGTCGGGAAGGGGTGCAGGATGCACGCCTACGTCTTCTGCTGGCAGCGCCCCCCCGCCCCCCCTCCACTTTCCCAGGCCCTCTTCCTCCCCACCGTGCGACACGGTCTCCTGCATCCTGTGATTGGTCCTTCCTGCACCAGGTGTGTATGGCTCCTCGGGGATTCGAGTGTACTACACGGCGCAGCTACGCAAATATGACATGGGTGTCCTGCAGCTGGGCTTCTGCACTTTGCCCATCCACTTCATACCCCCGGGTGCCGAGTCCTTCGCGTCCTATGGGCTGTGTAAGGCGGAGAAGTTTGACGAGGTGAAGCTGGGAGGCACCCCTCCTCCCCTGAGCTTCCCGGTTCCCCATCGCAAATCTGCTGTGACCCACAAGGCACAGCTTGAGCCCCAGATTTGGAGAATGACCACTGCCTGGTGCTCAGGAAAATCGCTCACCTGAATGGGGCGGGGGAGCCAGGAGGCAGGGCTGCGGGGCAGGAAGAGGGGCCAGGAGGTCCAGTAGGGGCTAAAGGGGTGTGTCTCAGTCATAAGACGAAGGTGTCAGATGTGAAAGGAGGAAACCGAGGAGCGGGGCCAGACGAGAGTTCCTGACAAGCCAGGTGGTCTCCTCCCTGCCACAGATGAACGGGGCCCCGGTGCCTGACATCCAGGTCTGCGGCTACCTGTTCCACACCCACTTGGCTGGCCGCACTCTGCAGGCCGTGCAATACAGGTAAGGAAGACACGGATTGGAAGCTCTCCCTTCTGTATTTGGAAATAAATGTTAGCAATAATTATTTATTCTGCGGCATGACGTTATGCTCAGTTGGGAGTAGGAGAAGCTAGAACTATCCCTAGAGTAGTGACGACAGGAATATGACAGTGGAGGGAGCTTTTTCATTTTACGGGCAATCTGTGCCCACAGAATGACTGCACACGCTGCTTCTTTGTTGATAGGCCCCCTCCCTGCTTCATCCTCTCCTTATTCCTGTCCCCTCCCCTTGTCCCCCTTCAGAAATGGAACACAACGCCAAACAATCTGGAAAGATGATACCTATGACTTGAATCTGCAGGAGACTTGAGATTTACCTTCTTGAGTGGCCATCAAGCCAGTGGGAGCCTGTGGGGAGGCATGGCTGGCATTGGGGGAAGGCAGGGTCAGCACTCACTACTGTTAGCCAAGAGGACTGTACCAGTCCCTCTGTGTCTTACTTTGAGCCTTTGTTTCGCTCTGCACAGGGAGATGAATTGTTGGTAGGGTGTCACTATCAGATGCTGGACCACGACTCCTTGACTTTTGTAAGTACCTCTCTCCCCATCGTGGTCAATGACAGTAGCCTCAGAATAGAGCCCCATCCCTGGCCTTGGCCATCACGTGACTCAGATTATTCCAGCTGAAGCCCCTTTCTTTCTCCAATGGTATTACCCAGGCACATGGGGCTTCATGCTCTCGCATCCCCATGACTGTAAGATGGGTACAAGGATTCCCGTCTTCTCTGTCAACAACCCACTAAGATTATGAAAGGAAAGCATGTGATAGTGTCTAAGAGCGTGGACTCTGGGCCTGATCGCCTGGGTCTGAATGTCAACATGATCATTAATAACTTTATAACCTTAGACAAATTATCAGATTCCTTGTGTCTCAGTTTCCTAATTCTCAAAAGAATTAATACTATCTATCTCATAAGATTTAGGGGAGAGTTGATTAACACGCCTAAAACATCTAGATCATTGCCCGACTTTTAGTAGATTGTCAGAGTTAGCTATTATTATTATGGTCACAAGGAACCCATATTTTGTGTGTCAGGAATGTCTCAGTGTCTGTAGGATTCAAAATGGATTGCATGCTTCCAAGGAAGAAAATACAGCCATACAAAGGATTACAACACAAGTTAGAAAGTAAAATACACCGTAAGAGAAGAATGGGGAAAACGCACTAGGGGAATTCACAGGGGAACAAAATCATCAGGTCCTATTACAGTGACCTGAACATGTGA